CAGCGGCCATACCGTTCAATCTTATGGAACTGGTCTGACCCCATAGGACCCTGTCAGCCTCAGGCAAAACCACCTTTCACCCACCCTTCCCCCAGATGCACCCCTTCTTGTTCGCAGTCTGCGTTCAGACAATCAACAAAACCGAAACTGTGATTTCACACACATTCCTTTACTTAGTCTGATTCATGTCCTGCCAGTCAATCCAAAGTCAAAATAGGGGTGCATACAGTATACTAAGTCAAACTTAGTAACACGTACAAGTAGGGGTAATGCCAGGGTAAATAGAGGGAAAGCAAACGGTTACCTTCCAATTCCCTGCCTCCAGAGCGTCGCCTAGGCTCCGGCAGAACTCCCGCAATCAGTGGGGCGAACCTCCCACAGAGGCCTTGACGCGGATTACGGGTTGCAATCCCGCCTGCCGCCTTCCTCTCAGAACCAAATAGACCAGACTTAGAGTAAGAAGGGCAAGAAGGAGAAAGTTTCAGACTCTCAGATCCAAGGGTGGTGCGCTCGGACTCGCGAGAGAGGACCCTGATACCTTCAGTTGCCTAAGGGGCCCGCAACGGTGGCCAAGAACACGCAGCGGCTTGGTCAATTTGAAGTCACACCACCTATCACCGACCTCCTAAATGGCATCAATAACCTCTCTTCTCAATCCAAATTACTGTGACACAGCCGACTGCGATAATTGACCACGATCAGTGGCAGCACGCAGTAGACTAAGTACGCAATGACCAACAGCAATGTAACGGCCAGCCGTAGTATGCAGCACCTAAGGCTTCCTCAGCCCACAGCGTCATGCCCACAGCATGCCGTAGCCATTTGGGCATGGCCCACAAAAGCAGCAGTCGTACACGGCCACCAACAGCAGCAGCCCAAAGGTAGTCTCCAACCCCGCTGCCGGCCTCACTAAGTCGAGGCCGCAAGCCTGAGTAAGCCCTCCGTTAGACTGTGGAAAAATCCACAGACGCTGATTTTGAACGCCCCCCTCCCCGATCACACCAGTACTGTATCCAATACCTCTCGTACTCTGGCACCCGGCGCCCGGCCTATACTACTCACCTAGCTAGCCTATCCGTGATCACGTGGATTCGAGGACCAACGCATGTGAAGCCTTCACCAAGGTTGACCGTCCACATACATCAGGTATAATTTCTCCTCCTTAATCGTTCCCCTTCGTTTCCTTCCTTGATGTACATTGCCCACAACAGTAGTCAGGTTCGTTCTCTTTCACAATCTGAGAACCTGACGCAAATCAGTCGGGGATTGTTATCTGAAGAACGGCCGCCTCGCGACCAAAAATGGGAAGGACAGGAACGGATGGGAGCAGCAATTTTGACCCCTCTGCTCGCATGGCGCTCCCTGTATACATGGCCAGCAGCGCAGTCAGGTCAGCGGATCTTCGTCAGCAGGGTGGGCTGAGCCGAAGGGAAACTGCAGCCTGAACGTAGGCGCTCTTCGCAGGTAAGTACTCCAACACCGCCCCCCCTTTTGCTATCTGCCTACTGATCTCCTACACCCCCAACCTCAAATCGGCGTGGCTCACCATGAAATCCCCCACCCGCACTGTCTTCCCACCCGACCTCATCGGTCGACGGGTTCTTGCTTACGCCCGCATTTCTCCTTGGTTCTTCTTTGCTCTCTCTCCCCTCCTCCATCACCAAACTAACACTACTACTAAATTTGCGATGACTGAAAGCACAAATTTTGGCTTTAAGCTTGCCAAAATCCGTTGTGAGGTGAACGCGTACGACCCTTTTTCCACCGAATGCACCCAACATCCTTCTCAGTTTAGGTTCACTCTCCTTTCAAACTCCAAATCTACTCACTCATTGCCAATGCTAACCTCACAGTCGGATTCGCCCGACGTTCAAACCCCAATAGAGCTTCTACACTCGCTCAATTTCGTTACAAATCGAGTGGAAAAAATCGCTTTTCTTCTTTCTACCATAGCCCCTCCCGCCATCTCTTCACGCACTAACTTTCTCTACTAACTTCTTTCCTACTCACTCCCTGGCCGAACTGACCCTACCATTACACTCGCCTGCCATTAGAACCCCCATTTCGTATCTTTCCCCGCCCTTTTCTGTCAAGGAAGGGCAAGATACTCATTCCTTACCCCCACCTTCTCCTCTCTCCGCCAAAGCTCGCGCAGTAACTTCTCTCAGTAACTTCTACTGTGCTAATCTAACACTAAAACTAACCTCGCCATGCAATTCGCCCTACCCAAATCCCTCAGAATCGCCTCCTCCCACGTCAAGAACCCTGAAGTATTGCGCACGCACCCTCTTCCCTACTGCGCCTCGGCTCACCACCCCGCCATTGCTATCCTCGAGTGCACCTGGCAGCCTTCGCTGTCTGGGTTCATCCCGCTCTGTTTTCCCCCTTTCGTTGCTATGTCCCTCCCATAGTCGACCCCCCTCTGTCTTAGCACTGTCGCTCCACCCCACCGCGGCCTGTCCATCGGCCTCCTCCCTCTCCGCCAGCTCCTCGCTCACCCGCTACCATCCTCACTCTCTCTCTCTCGGATGCACCCGGTCCAGATCCACGCCGGGTTCACCCCCCCTTTCTCTTCTTTTCGTCTTCGCCCCTTCGCCCCACCTCAGCGTCCGCGTTCCGCCCGCTACTGTACAACGATCCGACCGCTGGCCCTCTGGCGCTATCGCCCCGCTGCTGCGCAGCGCTGTCTTGCTAGCTCCGCTTCCCCATCACTCCCCCTCACTGCCTTCGTATTGAGTGCCTACTGCACACTCACCCCGCCCCTCGCTGCCTAGCATTCCCCGGTCGGGTTACACCTCTCTCAGCCTTACCCGAGGTCGTTCAATGCTGGGTGCCGGCGCTTCAGCAATCCCGGTTGTCCTAGCGGACATCGAAGACTTATTCGATTAGTCTTTCGCCCCTATACCCAAGTCCGACGAACGTTGAGCCCGCCCGCCTGGTATCGTTGCCAACCCGCAACTGCCTCCTCCAGGCCGCTTTTTCCCCGGCAGAGCCCACCACCCCTTCGGACCTCCAATAGGCAGATCCCGCCGGGACGGGCAGCCACCGCACAGCCTACTACAATCCTTGCACGGGCCCTGATGAACCGGCCCGGTGCAATTCTCGACGATAGTAACACGGGCCGGCATGCTCCCTCGCTGGAGGCTTGGGCACGGGTGCCGCCACTACGGGGTAGCTTCGGCGCAGTCACGAAAACAGTTTGTAATTGCACTTCAGGCAACCCGCGAATACAACGCACCCCGTGGGACTGTATATCAACCCCGGTACCGCGTCCGAAACGGGACGCGAACAGGGGAAAAGTAAAAACCCAAAAATAGCAAGAGGTATAAGAAAAATAAAACTTAATAAATAAATAAAAAAAACAGAACCGGGAAGAGGGGAGGGGAACTACGAATACCCCGCCTCCCCCGTGGATCGGGCCCGCCGCCGTGCCCACTAACAAAACCGAGGGAGATAGCCCCGACGTCGGGCCCTCAACCCCTCAGGTTTTGCTCCACGCTGCTCCGCTACAGTTGTTGTGCCGACGCCCGCTGGCCTCGATCCCCGAACCTCGGTATCGTCAACCCAATTATCGTAACCTATAGGGCTAAGCCCAAGCCTGAGACCAATATCCGCGGAATGCTATATAAGGCGGCGAGGCGCTGCGCTCAGAGCCAGGGAAATTGGCCTGAGCCTCACCTCTGCCTACAACCGTGCGCACGGCTGCCCAGCGTCTGCGCCGGCCTACCAAAGCCGTACCACGACTGCCACTCGCGCCACTGCGCGTGCCAAGACCTACCGCAGTCACACTGTCGTCGTCATCGCCGCCGTCGAGGTCGTCCTCCGTATGCACGCGTAACTCAGTCAAACATACCAACCAGAAAAATAACCTTAAATCCTAGTCTAATCAAGAACAAACAAAAATAAAAGTTAAGATAAAACAGAAACAAACCGTCTGACGTCTGCGACGACTTTATAATCAACGATCGAAACGGAATCACGCGCGCCTCAAACTCGCGCGCCCACACACTCTTTGTTCCAGTCAACCATTCGGCCATCGTAACCATACAAACGCAGCCGCGCCTTGCGCGGTACACTTAACTTTAAGCCAAATTCATTTTTTTGTCATCTGCAAAAACCAGGGCGGATACCCTTGTAAGGGTATTCGCGCCGACAACGCATGCTTGGGTGCAAGTCCTTGGATCTGCTGCTTGCGCAAATAGGTGTCAACTCGGGCATGGCAGCCTCTATGAAACGCTCAGCAGACCGTCTATAAACATTTCTGGTTGGGGACTCGGATTGAATCTGGCTGTGATCGTCGTCCTGACTGTGACGTTAAATAATTCCTGAAGAGATGGGGGCGCTCTTAATAATCCTCCTGATCAGCCAGATCAATCGGGTGTAAGGCTCGTCGGCGTACGAGGATTAATAAGAGTTTTGTGGCTGCCTTGCTCGACGATGACTTGAGGCACAGGGGTGGGACCGGATTGCACACCTTCAGACACGCTGCTTAAACCAGAGGCTAAGGGACGTTGACACAAAGTGACTACTCAAGAAGGATACAGGGGGATGGGGGATTCCGGTAACTGTTCGCAGTGGCAATCAACATACAATCTGCCATCCAGTATACATCTCCAACAGGAGATGTTATTTTTATTTTGATTATCTAGTTGTGACAGACTTCGCTAACAACTGACAGACAGCTACAGATAGATTAAATCTTTGCTGTAGTGCAATCTGTTCCAGGGTAATTCAAAAATAAAATTAATATATCCTGTAGGACCTGACATTAGTTGCAACTACATCACCTAATCATTTCCGTTCCAGCCGACCGTAAGTAGTTGTGTATCATATGCGGATGTGTGTTAAGCTAAGGTAGGATTCAGTGTGGATTCTAGTTTAGATCACACACACTGTAGCTCATGAGTGATGCAAGCACAAGTGAGGAGTTACTAGTGGACGACCGTAGGACTACTCGCGGGACTGCCCGCAGTCGACCCTTGACATTCTTGGAGTTAGGTCCAGGAGACGAGAGAAGATTGAGGAGAGAGGCTAGAGAGAGGGCAGCGACAAGGAGAGCTAGGGCAGCTGAGGACAGTGCTAGGGATAGAGTTACAGCTAACATCAGTGCAGCCATGGCTACCTCATCTATGACGCAACCCTCTACACAGCCCTCTTCGTCAGAAGTCACTCAGGGTGGTTCTCAGGTTCCCATTAGTCAGATTGGCCATGTGCGAGTCAGCCAGTCTCCACTCACGCCGGAGGACTTAGAAATCCAGTAGGCAGAATAACTTCAGGATGAGCCACAGCGGCAGATGGACAATGTGGTAGAGAGGAGAAGGAAAGTTATGCAAAGAAAGGCTAGACTAGAGAGTAGAGCACAGGAGCTAGGCAGACTGGAAAGACTAGATGAGTCAACATTAGACCCTGCTGTCCGTGTGCTGCGAGGCGCCTTACTTTCAGTGGCGGAAGCGCAAAGCGGTCAGCACGAATTGTTGGCTGATTTGGTAGCAGGCCAGAAACAAATTCTGGCTGAACTTCAGGGCCCTCTCATGATGGTGAGGCAGCTACAGTTTGCTGTAGTTCCCCCTGTAGGTGCGGGTCCGTCCACGATGTCGCAACGCACAAGGCACACTTTCTCTCCTATGTTTGGCATACCCCCTCCAGGTGGTTTGGTAGCAACTAGTGGTCCGGTTCAGTCAGTCTCAGTCGTACCATCTATAACAGTGGTCACTACAGTCCCGCCAGGCCCAGGTTAGTGTGCAACAACCTGTTTCAGTGGCTATGCAGCCGCTGCAGCAAGCACCTGGGCCCATGCAGCCTATGCAGTGGATGCCCAAGATACCTCTAATGAGTCCCAAGCCTTTCTCTGGAGACAAGAAGAAGGAGGAAGACTTGGACACCTGGGTGAGGACTATGCCTACTTATGTGAGGCACAAGCTCACAAGGCCAGAACAAGAAGTTGTAGTGGTTGCCTCCTTTTTAGAAGGATCAGCAGCCCGCTGGTTGAATGGCTTAGTGCACCAACAGGGCTACGGTCAGGATTTTGATGTCTGGGCTCAGGCTCAGACATAGGAACAGTTCGTACGGTCAGTCTACAACAGGTGGCATGACCCGCAAGGGGCTCAAAAGGTCACCGATGGTATCAACAACCTGTGTTCCCAAAGGTTCAAGGATGTTAGAGAGCTAACAGACACCGTAGAACGTCTTCTCGTGGTACCTGGTGTGCGCTTTGACCAGCAGGTTCTCCTGACGGATTACCTAAGGTGCCTACCTACAGAGGTAAGGACCAAGCTGGTCGATGAGGCCTATGTCGATCAGCACACCTTCGCTTCTTTTAGTAAGAAAGCACTGGACATAGAGGCAAAGTTGGGATCTGCGCACAAGATATCCAATGATGGTAGGAAGAGACTGCCCCAAGATTGGAGGAAAAAGGGTCAGTTAATGTTCGTTGACCACGATGGTCAAACAACGGAGATTGACGACTACTCATATCTTGGGGAGTTCACAGAGCATGATGGGGGTGGTGAGACTTCAGATGGTGGAGTCGTGGCACCCATCAAGGAAAAGGCTAGGGGGACCGGGAAGAAGAAGGTAGGACGGTCCACGGGTCAGGGCGACCAAGGAACACCCGCATGGGTGAAGATTGGTTTAGAGTATGAGGTGTGGCGTGACCGCGTTGCTAGGGGTACATGCATGAACTGTGGCCATTATGGCCACATGTCCAGGACTTGCCGCGGCAAGAAGGTCACCACAAAGGTAGCCTCACCAACGGTGGTGGGTCTATCTTCAAACCCTGGGAGTGCTTCTACGAGCAGCTCACAGGGAAACACCTCGGGCCAGTAGGAGCGTTAGCCGCTCTTACTCGCGCTGAAGTGGTAACGTTGCCTTCCCCACTTCAGGCGTTGGCCAAGGCTAGTGACCCACACATCGCCCCGCAGACACATTCAGACCCACCGACGCTCTGTTCGAGAGATGTGTCTAAGGCCCTAGAAGAGTTAGAGACTGAGTGGTCAGGGAAGGACCCCAGGGACTCTTGGGCGATGATCAGTAGAGGTCCTAAGGGTAAGCATTTCGTGGTAGAAGTAGATGTAGGTGGTCGCAAGGTTGGCGCCTTCGCAGACATAGGCTCTACACGAAATTTCATCAGCCGTGCTTGTGTGGATAGACTGCGCTTAGGGGACCAAGTGCAGCGGCTTAGCAGAACTGTGGCTTCTACGCTAGCCAACAAGCACCAAATGGTAGTAAAAGACTATGTCAAGGACGTAGCCTGTTCATTCTCCTATGGAGGAGGGGAAGTGATCCACAAGATCTCCTTCCTGGTTAGCGATGAACTGTCATTCGATATGCTACTAGGCATGTACTACCTCGAAGTCTCGAAACCACAGTTTGATTGGGATAGAAAGGTGTTGATACATAAGTTGCCAAATGGTAGGACCGTTAGGCTGCAGAAGTTTAAAGCCAGCAGTCTAGTGGAAAACTACGGCTGCATGTGCGCTTCGTCTTTTTATAACTACTACAAGCAGAATCGCGAGGAGGGCATGTACCTAGTGTTTGTCTCTGAGAAAGGGGAGGCCGTTAAAACACCCCCAGAGATAGAACAAGTCGTCGCTCAATATTCAGACCTTTTTGAGGAGCCCACAGACGTGGTGGAAAGGGAGGTTGTCCATGCAATAGAGGTTGTCCCAGGTAGTAAGGTGCCTAGAGGATGAATCTATAGGATGTCTCCTGCGGAGTTAAATGAGCTTCGCCGCCAGCTCAAGGAGCTCACAGAGAAGGGATGGATACAGCCTAGTACCTCCCCTTACGGTGCGCCAGTCCTATTTGTTCCTAGGAAGGGAGGTCCATTAAGGATGTGCATTGACTTTAGGGGCCTCAATGCCATCACCGTTAAGAACGCGGAGCCCCTACCCCGCATTGACGACCTCTTGGATAGAGTGCAGGGATGTCAATACTTCACAAAGATAGATCTGAAGTCCGGATACCATCAAATTGCCGTTAGGCTTGAGGACCAGCACAAAACCGCCTTTCGGACCAGGTACGGTCTGTACGAGTTTGCGGTGATGCCTTTTGGCCTATGCAATGCGCCAGGTACGTTCCAGCACGCGATGAACCGGATCTTTCATGACTACTTGGACAAGTTTATCGTCGTGTACCTCGACGATATTCTCATCTTTAGTAGGACTGTAGAGGAGCACGCTAAGCACTTGAAAATAGTGCTAGGCCTCCTAAGACAGCACCAGTACAAGGTAAACTTGGATAAATGCGAGTTTGGTCGCACCAAGATCTTGTACTTGGGTCATGAAATTTCAGCTGATGGATTGAGGCCGGAAGATGCGAAGGTGGCCAGCATATGTGACTGGCCCAAACCTCAAACAGTTACAGAGGTCAGATCGTTTTTAGGGATGACGGGCTATTATCGTCCGTTTGTGAAGAACTATAGTACTATAGCCTCCCCATTAACGAATCTAACTCGACTTGACACCCCTTGGGAGTGGACTGAAGATTGCGAAGCCAGCTTCCAGAAATTGAAGTATGATCTGACGCACTATGAAGTTCTCAAACTTCCTGATCCTGACAAGCCATTTGTTGTGACCACAGACGCCAGCCAATATGGCATAGGCGTGGTCCTTGCGCAACAGGAAGGGTCCAAGTTGAGACCGATCGAGTACATGAGCAAGAAGATGCCATCTCAGAAGTTGGCCAAGTCCACTTATGAGAGAGAGCTCTACGCCCTGCATAGAGCGCTAGTTCGTTGAAGACACTACCTCCTAGGAAGATTCTTCTATGTGAGGTCGGACCATGAGACTTTGCGCTGGATCAAGACACAACCAGTCTTGTCGGACGCACTCAAGAGATGGATTCAAGTGATAGACATGTATGACTATCAACTTGATCCTATCAAGGGTACGTACAACAAGGTGGCTGATGCGTTATCAAGAAGGGCAGATTATCTGGGCGCGCTAGTAACTGAGTTTGGCATATCTAATGACCTCACTCGATCGTTGGTGGAAGCCTATCAAGGAGACCCAGTCATGTCAGAGACCATTCGTAGATTCAAAGCAAAGGATAAAAAGACCTTAAACGAATTTACGATGGTAGACGACTTGCTGTTCCTCGATAAGGCCGGGAATAAAAGACTATGTGTTGCTAATAGTGAGTCTTTGCGTAGTTTATTTTTAGGAGAGTGTCACGATGCAACGGGTCATTTTGGCTATAAGAAGACAACAGCAAACTTAGTTCAGAGATTCTGGTGGCCCTCTATGATGGAAGATACAAAACGATATGTTGAAACCTGCCAGGTTTGCCAAAGGGACAAACCGAGGACTCAGGCTCCGCTTGGGCTCATCAAGCCCTTGCCGATTCCTGAAGGTCCTGGTCAAAGTGTCTCCATGGACTTCATGGATACCCTTGTGACCAGTAAGTCTGGAAAGAGACACATCTTCGTAATAGTGGACCGTTTTACTAAGTACGCAAGACTAATCGCTATGCCAAAAACAGCTAAAACTGACCATGTCATCAAACTGTTTATGGACAATTGGGTTCGTGATTTCGGTTTGCCTACGTCTATCGTTAGTGATAGGGATGTCAGGTTCACAAGTGAACTGTGGCAGTCAACTGCAGAGCAAATGGGCACAAAGCTCCAGATGACGTCAGGGAATCACCCTGAGTCAAATGGTCAAGCAGAACAGATGAACCGGGTAGTGCAGCACTTGCTTAGGCATTATATTAAGCCAAGCCAGGATGACTGGGACGAGAAGTTACCTCTCGTCGCCAGCCTGTACAAGAATGTTGTGCACAACACCACCAGTATGACTCCCAACCAGTTACATCTTGGTTGGAAGCCCAAATCTGCGCTTGACTTTTTGTTACCAGAAAGGCAACCTACTGCAGCACCTGGCAGCATAGAGTTTGCTGTCAAGTATGAACAGATGCTGCAGCAGGCCGTAGAACACATTCAGAAGTCTCAAGATGCTATGATTGCATCTGAGAACAAACATAGACGGTCTTCTAACTTTCAGGTAGGTGAGAGAGTCTGGGTAAAATCATCTGAACTGGGACAAGAGATAGGGATATCAAGAAAGCTGATGCCTCAGTACTTCTGGCCCTGCGAGATCTTAGATATTGTAGGAGATCAACCTGATGGGCCTTCATACGTGATTCGCATTCCTGCACACCTACGGACTTATCCTATTTTCCATGCCTCCAAGTTGGCACCTTTTGCTGCCACAGATCTGTTTCCCTCTCGGAGATCTATGCTGCCCCCAACCATGGATGGTGAAGTGGACATTGACCAGATCGTCGAGCATCGGATGATGCCTGTTCCTTGACTATCCGGCAAAGGGTGACCTCCTAAACCAAGAATGCAGTATCGGGTGAGCTTCAGACATCACCTCGATCCCAAGGAAGATTGCTGGTTCACACGAGAAGAACTCATGAGAACAGCACCTCAAGTGATTGCAGGCTATGAAAGAGAACGGAAAGGAAAGATGCCTGCAGAATAAGACTTCTCAGAGGACTCACGAAGTTAAGGAGGAGGGAATGCGAGGATCAGGGTCCTCTGTAGGCCTATGGGGCCCTGTCTGCAGCCTTACCCGCCCTAAGTGAAGGCGGGCCTGGCTTTTTGCAAAAGGCCTTCGACTGTCAATTTCGTATTTGGGGTTCAGGCAGTTGCGACGCGCCATTTGGTTGAAAGAAACATAGGTCGAGCAACAAGGACATTTCCACGGCCTACCGGGCCTTTCCAAAGAATGCAGGCCCTGGCCATGATTCACAGCCTCATACAGAGACAGTTGGGCGCCCAACCGAACGAGGCCCAGCAGCCTAGTAGCTGCTGCATCCAGGCAGCCTCCTGGGGCCTTTCGGAAGCTTCTGGGCCCAGGTCAAGGCAGCCAGGCTGCGTGAGCAGACCAACTCTTTCCATAAAGGAAAGAGCTCGACCCTGGCTGCATCATTCAGGCACTCGCATGCTGGGCGGCAGCACTGCTGGAGCTAATGCTCGTAGGCTGCTGCTAGCGCTGGGAGGCGAGGTGCAGCACGTGCGGTCGTGCAGAGGAGGAGGGCGYTGCTGAGGGCAGCGCCATAGCCCARCCACCATAGCTGGTGGGCTTGGACTACAGTGAAGCGCAGGGTTGGTCTTCGGGTGACAGAGAGGACAGGTGTGGGTGAAGTCAGGGGATAGGTGAAGGATGATGATGATGATGATGATGTGAGGGCACGTACCTTGTATTGGCGATGGTCTGCATGGGCGGCATCTTCAAGTACTTCGGGCTGCTGCTGATGTCAACAGTTGCACTGTCTTTTTGTAGTCTGTAGTAGCTGTGTAGGAGTAGGTTGGGCGCTGAGCGCCAAGTGTGAGTGTAGGGGAACTGGACTCTTGTGTTGAGAGGAGAGAGTGTGGTCTCCACGGACATTGGTTTTTAGTGCTACGAAACTCCATTGGTGTATCATTGGTGCAATGCTGCTATCTGGACACAGTGTGACTATTTGACTTGCAATGTGATGGTGTGATCTGGGATTGTCATCTCGCTGTTGCTTATTTTCCTTGCATATATACATATATATATATATATATATATATATATCCTAACCCTTAAGCAGCATTGGCCGCGGGGGGAGGCGGGTGTTCCGCTGTGCGCCGGAATCGGGTTGAAGTTTCGATGCGGGCCGGCGGAAGAAGGGGATCGAAGGCGGGTGGGCGTGCCGAGTGGCGCGCGTACCGAATTGTTCACTGCGCGCCACTAAATAAGAGTGCGCGCCCACGGGGCCGGGTACACGGCGGGCGTCGATGCGGATGAATATCTCGACGTGCCCGCCGTTGGATAGCATTTCCGTGTCGATTTGTGTC